TGTTACACTGAATGACCATGGTTTGTTACTCTGAATGACGATTTGCCAAAAAGAGAGATAACATTGCCATTGTTCACATAACTGAAATATTTTTAGTATTAATCGGTGTCATTAAATTAGTTTTAATAATAATCCTGAGTAAATGACTGCAAGTGATCTCTCTTGGACTACTAACATACTGTAGTGAGGGGGGTTTCTCTGTCCAGAATTATTGGCAAGCTATTATTCCAACAATTACAATCCTCAATACCCTTCTCTTTTCCTGGCTAAAGGCACGTTCACACCAAGTATATTGTTGGAATCTCTTTTATATTGTTGGATATTGATGGATTTTTAATTTATTTTTTTCAGCTGATGAATGATAAAAGCATTGGCAGCCAATTAGAATTCATTCAACTTTAAAGAGCTCGAGCATTTAAAGTGGCAGACAACAAATCTGCAGCACATGCTTAGAATGAACAGTGCTATTGTTCATCGGTGTGGAGGCTAACATAGTTACTGTTATAGTTATTTTATAGGTATTGTTCTTGGTGTGAACAGGCTTTAAGAGTGCCACCCAAGCTACTGGGTCCACACTTAGTTTATTAGCTTTTTGGCTTTTTACAGTGCCTAGTGACTCCCTCTGTTCATGGGTGTCTATAATTAATCAATAATCAAATTAAACAATACCAAAATGCATTCAAATATTAATATTTATTAAGTTTAACACATATTTGTCAATGCTAAACGTTCCTCATTTATCTGTAATATAAATAAGATGCTAAAATTATTATTTATACAATGATACTGTCATTCAGTGTAATGGATGACACTGTGGTGTAACAGAGAATTTGCATTACCCTGAATGACAAAACCATTATCCCCTGTCCATTTAAATACTTTAAAGAAACAATAAGACATAGTCCTTTTAAAGTCATCATGAAACAGAAGTTGCGATCGTCTTTTCTTCTCTACTGTGATGTATATCCGAGTGAAACAGCATCTGAAATGAGAGGGCGGGACTTGATTTCATCCTTCGGGAATTGATTGGATCGTTGGAAGGTGGGGCATTGCAAACAAAATGGAGGCAGATCTGAATGCCAGTTTGCAGTTAGTGGGGGGGGATTTCTCTCCACTGGATTCACAGCCGACACCCAAGCATGAATAAATGTTTTATTTAGTAAGGATGACGATGACGATCAACGGCACAAAACATGCCTAAACAGCGCGCGTGAGAGAGAGAGACAGAGAGAGAGAGAGACTGCCTGAATGACTGAGCG